TTCTCCTATGAGTCGACTTTTCACGCGCGGTTAGCAGGGCCTGGCCTTGGAGAGCCGCTGCCTGTGTATGGTGGAGGGACTTTCTTAACTTTTCAGGTAAATTGATTTATGTTCAGACTCTCTCTCTCTCTCTCTCTCTCTCTCTCTCTCTCTCTCTCTCTCTCTCTCTCTCTCTCTCTCTCTCTCTCTCAAACTTTCGGAGGCATCCCGTTCTCCCCCTTTTCTTCCCTCAGCTCCCCTCACCTTTACTCTCCCCACATCCTCCCCTCCCCCCCATGTTCCTCCTCCCCACCCTGTCCCCTCCCGTCCTCTCCAACTCTTTCCTTCCCTTTTCCCTTTTCTTCTTCTCCGTCCCTCCTTTTCCCCCACAGTCTCTTCCTCTCTCCTCCTCTCCGTCCTTTTCCTCAGCCTGTCTTCACCTCCTCCTCTTTTCTGTCCCCCTCCCCTTCCCCCGCTCATTTCTCCTTCCCTTCCTCTTTCCCCTCTCTCTCTTCCCCTCTCCTCCTCCGTCCCTCTCTCTTTCCACCCTCTCCATCTTGCCCCACCTTTCCCTCACCCTCTTTTCCTTCTCTTCTTCTCCGTCCCTCCCTTGCCTTATCCCTCTCCCCTATCTCCTTTCTTCATCCCTCTCCTCTCCCTTTCCCCAACCTGCCTTCCCCTCCTCTCCATCCCTCTCCTCCCCTTCATTCTCTCCATTCCACACTTCCCAGGGATTGAGAGGACCCCCTCCCCCCCGCCGACCCCAATCAGGGCAGTCTTCGAGGACCCCCCCCCCCCCGCGCCCGCCCGCCCGCCCGCCCGCACAGCCGCCCACGATCTCTCAGGAAGTCCTCCAGGAGCTCACGTCGGCCTATCACTTCCTCTTCTCCTGTTCTCTCGTCTCTCACCTCTTTTCTACTTTTCTACCTATTTTCTTTCGCCATTCCCCGTCTCTTCCTTTTCTTACTTGCCTTTTCTCTCGCCATTCCCTGTCTCTTTTTTTTTCTCTCTCTCCTTCTTGTCTCCATCATCGTCTTTTCCACTCTTCCTCTTTTTTTTTACCCAGCCCTTTCGTTTTCTTTCTTTTCTGTCTCCCTTTCCTTCTCTTCTCTTCTCTTCTCTTTCCTTCCCTCCCCTTCCCTCCCGTCCCTCCCCACATCTCCCTCCTCCTCCCCCTCCTTCTCCTCCTCCTCCTCCTTCTTCTCCTCCTCCTCTCTCTCCTCTCTAGTCCCCTTTCCCCCTTTTTATCCCCTCGTCTCCCCTCTCCCTCGCTTCGTGACGGGATAAGGCCTCCTGTCCAGCTGCGTCTCGGGCTCCCCTCCTCCGCTGCCTCCTCCTCCAGTGGGGGGTCTGTTGTGTGAGTCCTCTGCTTGCGTGTTTGCCTGCTTGTGGGTTTTGGGTGGGTGGGTGGAGGGTGGGGGGAGGAGGAGGGGGTCCTGGTGTGTGTCTGGTAGATTGGCGTGATTCTGAGTGATATGGAGTGTTGTTGTTGTTGTTTTTTTTAGATCTGTTGATGTGTGTTGTGTGAGTCCTTTGCTTGCGTGCTTGTCTGCTTGTGTGTGTGTGTAAGGGGGGGGGGGGAGATCCTGATGTGTGTGTGTGTCAGGTAGATTGTCGTGGTTGTGAGTGGTGGGGAGTGCTTTTTTGTGTGTTTCTGTTGATGTGTGTGTCTGCTTGTCTGTCGCTCGGCCTGTTTTTGTGTGCAGAAGTTCATGTGGTTCTACTTATGTTACGTCGTTATCGTCTTGCCATACAGTTCATCTGGGTGTACGCCTGTATATGTCCATCGTATCGTGTGTGTGTGTATGTGTGTGCGTGCGTGCGGGTGCGTGTATGTGTGTGTGTGTGTGTGTATGTGTGTGTGTGCGTGTGTGTGTGTGTGTGTGTGTGTGTGTGTGTGTGTGTGTGTGTGTGTGTGAGAGAGAGAGAGAGAGAGAGAGCGAGTGAGTGTATGTGTGTGTGTGTGTTTGTGTGTGTGTGTTTACGTGTGTGTTCTATTTGAGCGAATGCATCAGTCATGTCACAGTCTGTCTGTGTGTCTGCATTTGTGTGTGTGTTCGTGCGCTCTCGTTTCCTTTGGCCGCGCCGGGTTTGCCTCTTGAACCACGTCCGTGTCTGTCCAACCGCGCGTTTCACGTCTCTCTTTTATCTCGTCTCGTATTATTCCTTTGATTCGCTATTCTCTTTGCCTTTTGGACTTTATCTTATTTCTCTCTCTCTCCCTCTCCTTCTCCCTCTCTTTCTCTCTCTCTCTCTCTGTGGCGGCTTCTTTCGTCTGGATGAATCGCGGCCGAGCTTTCTTTGCCTTGTTTGTTCTCGTTTGTCTTCTTTTCCTCTCTCTTTCTTTCCTTTCTCTCTCTTCTCTTCTCTCTTCTCTTCGCTTCTATTCTCCTCTCCTCTCTCTCTCTCTCTCTCTCTCTCTCTCTCTCTCTCTCTCTCTCTCTCTCTCTCTCTCTCTCTCTCTCTCTCCTCCCCTCCCTCCCTCCCTCCCTTCCTCCCTCCCTCCCTCCTTTCCTCCCTC